TTCAAGCAACGGTTGCATGACCACTTCTGGAATTTGCTGTAGAGCAGAGTTTTTGTTCATTTATGGATTAAATTGCATGACCCTTTAAGGTTTTTTTCTCAATTCTAATGTTCTCTGATTTTTTGAAAGACTGGTATAGGAGAAATATGATATATTGCAATCTAAAGACAGTCATCTTTAGGAAAGATCACAGAGAACAGACTGTGGTGGGGAATTCTCCTTTGCCTTTATTATGATGGCTGCTTGTTGGAAGAGATGGATTATCGTGTAGAATACAAATTTATGTTGACATCACTTCAGTATCTGGGCTGGAACAGTTTTCTCCTTATTCTTCCATTGAATGAATTCACTGGATTATTCCCAAGTTATTTATTCTAGAATGGAGTTCATCTCAGTCTTAAATTTTTCAAGCAATGGTGGGCCCACACACCTTCCCCTGGTTTAGACAATTCCCTAATTCCTTCCTGTTATTGGAGACTTTTCCTTGATAGGATTTAATTCACATTTTCCAGTTATTGATAAAACGTGCTGCTGCTTATTTCAGCTCCTCTAAGTACTGTGAATAATTAGATATCATTTTCTCCCCTCTCCTTCCCACCCTAGCCTGTTAAACAAAACCTTTGGTAGGAGTTTAAATTCAGAGCAAAGGAGGCAAGATTTGCCTGGTTAAGCTAAAGTTCAATGAATGAGTCCCTCCTGGAAGTACTTGAGGAATTGTTTCTTCAGATCAAAATTCTACATCTGGAGCAAATGGGAGACCAATAAATCACTTAACTTTTTATAATAATCTTTAAGGGACCCGTCAGATCCCAGGGTTTACCCAAGTTGGAGGCTATTTATGGCTGCAGTTTTTCCTACTTGAGTCTCTGGTAGAGTCCCCTAAGTTTCTTTTAGATCATTGTTAATTTATCCTAAGTCAGCTAAAACAACAGAAAGGTAAACAGGCACCAATATGGGGAGTTCTTCTTTAATTAAAAGTTTTTGGTAAAACTGAAAGCCTTATTAATCTTTTGCAGATGACAACTCATATATTGCTGATGGTTAAAGATACCCATGTGTTACATGAGGGCTTTCAGCTTCACAACCCATCTCTCTTTTTCTTGATCTTTTGGTAAAATTATAAGCTAAACTGGTGACTTCATAATCATTTCCTTGGCAACAGTTTGATATCACAAGCACATAGGAAAATAGCTCTTACCGAAACACAAGTGTCTTCAATAACAGTGGGAGAAAACAGAAAACTACTGGCAAAGTAAATTGCTTTTCTTAAAACTGGTTTCCTCCTCCCACCCCTTCCCCATGTGCCTGAGTGTAAAAGCCTACCTTTAAAAGTGCCTCATCTTCTGGATCAAACACTTCAGAGAAAATGACAACTACAAAGCTTAAAACATCCTAGGCAGAGCTAGGAGAAAAACCTCTACAGGACAGTTGGAAATACATCAGTGAAGAAATATGCAGGAGTGCTGAATACACTGTTTGTGTTTCTTCCTCACATAATTGACAATTGCAGTCAGATTTGGGGGAATTATGTTAAATTTGATGCGTAATGGTTCTGTTTTTCAGGGGGGTCCTTCCCCCTTGGTCTCTGTGGCTCTTTGGGCTGCCAGGTTTTCTGGGCAGGAAGCTTAAAAAGGGGGAAAAAAAGTCCTGAGGGAATTTGTGATTTTTCTTTTTTTGCCGTGGTGATTTAATGTTTCTTCAGGATAAAGGCACAAGTGTCTGACCAGTCAACTCTGACTATCCACTATCCCATAGTTACATATTACCTGCAAAATCAATAAATGCAAAAAAAAAAAGAAAAAGAAAGAAACCTTTAACAGCAAGCACACTGAAGACTATGCCCTGGAATAAATCATTAGCAGCAGGTTTCAGAGATTTCTTCATCTTGTGGCAACCAGTTTGTTTCAGTTACAACCAGGTGTGCTGTGCTATCCCCACATATTGCGAGTTGGCCTGGGCTGGTGCAGCAAAGCTCGAAGGCAGCTAGAGAAACAATGCACCACTGACAACTTCCATCCATCATCCCAGCATTCTACCCAGGGTCTAAGCAGCCAAGGATGGGATCCATGTGTGGAAGTTCCCCTTCAGGAGGAACCTTCAGGGCTTATATGCTTTTAAAAGAAATCTGCTAATCGTCTTCTGTGGGAGACATACCATAACACAAGCTGCCTTGTGGGCTTAGTCTGCTTTGCAGACAACTGGTCTGGGGGGGGGGTTGTAGGGGGAATAGGCTTATTATGTGATACAAATACAAATTAACACCATTCTTTAGTTAGAGAGAATGGATCCCTTAGTCATCCCAGCCTGGTGTGAATCTTCCCAGTCACCACTTGTGATTTTCCACTGGAGCCGAGACAAGGAAGCCCATCCTTATATGTCTTATGGCTTCCCAATTTAGGCTGGGTATGTTCCATTGTGATCAGTTTGCTTGGATGGTTCATAAATTTGGGTTCCAATGATTCCACCTGCCCATAATTTCTCTTTGTCTCTTGTGTTGCCCAGAAGAAAAGCATATAAGTAAGTTTTTTCCTTGGTGTTAAACAGGAAGGCTGTTTCCAGATTGACACCAACTCAGTGCACCAGATTCAGTTCTTATAATTTGTGTTTACCAAATTAAAGCACCTTTGTGCACCCTCCCAGCTCCTGTTCCAAATCTGGATTAGGAAATTAAAACCTAATACTTACTGGTTTAAAGTATACGTGCATCAGAGCTTTGTTCTCAAAGAAATGTAAATAAGAGACTGTTTTCTAAATAGGCTCTGTAGATGATTAATTATGGCATCATCATCATTTTGCCTAGGAGAGCTAAATGCCCTCATTAAAAAACTACCTCTTTGAGACCTTCATGTGAAAGCTTCGCCTCTCAGATGTCAAATGATCAAAATGCTGGAGTTGTGTGTGAGGTCAGTAATTGCACACACATCCTGGTCCCTGTGAGCACCAGTTCCTGTTGGCCTGTGCACTGACTTGCTCATTTGGCAGGCAGAGATGGGTGTTTTCCTGCAGGCAGTGGGTAACCACATGGATTTTGCTGGTGTGTCTCAGCTGCTGATGCCTGAAAATTTGGCTCTGATTGTTTATAGAAATGAAAAGCAATCTGAGCTGTCAACCTTGATATTACCTCAACCTGTATAGAATGTGGTAAAAATAATGCAAGATTTGTTATTTTTTTTCAGCCTGTTTCATATTTTCCAGGCGATAGATTGCATCAATCCAGGGTTCATTTTTAGTTCTTTGATGAGCTGACTGGAAGGAAAATAAGAATGCACTTTTAACATAGAAGAGCCACACGGTCAAAGTTGCTATCTGTGCTGTTTATTAATAACCAGGAAACTTTTGAGCATTGAGTTCCAGCACTTTTGAGGGAGATGGGGGCAGGGAATGGGGCAGGTTGAGGGGGAGACCTTTCATCTAGGCTCTCCTACCATCCCCATCCACTGTACCTCCCCACCCCACATTTGTAAAATCCTTAGACTTTTCCCTCTACAAATCTCATGCTATTATTTACTAACCCCCAAAAGCATAGTGATTAGCATTAGTAGTAATAATGCCCTTTCATGTTCTTTCCAAAGTCTTGACTATGCAAATTTCTTAGAAAATGTTTTCCCAGGCTTTAGTGTCTATGTTACAGGTCATTGTGTTTGTAAAAACTGGTTCTAGTGTTTACCTGTGCTATACTAATGTCTGTAGTCCATTCACATTCTTGTTGATAAAGGGGGAGTGCTAAGTATGACTTACACTGTCATCTTTTGTGACTCATCCACCATTGGTGTGGTTGTCTTAAGGCCTTTCTTGAGTGGAAGAACATCTTCATAGCCTTGGTCTTTGGGGGGAACCCCTGTAAGATAAGCTCCTCAATAAAACCTTTTTTAGAGTTGGATTTCTTTTAATAACCATCATAACCATTTATATCCTCATCTTGCCCTTGTACTCTGGGCTTGTTTCCCTTCCCTTGATTATTTGGTTTTTGGTAGCATGACCTTTGGGGCAGCTAGGTGGCATATTGGATACTGTCCAGGGCCTGAAGTCAGAAAGATTCGCCTTCCTGAGTTCAAATCTGGCCTCAAACATTTACTAGCTGTGTAACCCTCAGCAAGTCACTTAACCCTATTTGTCTCAGTTTCCTTATCTGTAAAATGAGCTGGAGAAGGAAATGGCAAACTACTCCAGTATCTTTGCCAAGAAAAACCCCAAATGGGGTCACAAAGAGGCAGACACAACTGAAATGACCGAACAACACTGAGGGTGGCCTTTAGCTGGAAAGCTTACTTCCTCTCTGGAATCCTATTCCTATTCGTTCTGCAGCCTCTCATTCCCAACCTCCAGTTCGCATAGGTGAAAGAGCTCAGATGCCCTATTTTCAGCCAGAAAAAGGATCATACAAGCCTGAGACTTTTCCATTGGCTACCCTTAGAACCCAATGACCATAACACATAAATCCACCAAGCTTCACCATTGCTTTCCTGGGTACTGAGAACATCCAATGCTTGTCTGATGTTAAGTTTTACTGCCCATGAAGGCAAACATCACCTCCGTCGTGGCCAGTTAAATAGTATCTTTTACAGTGGACTTTTGCATATCTGAAACCCACCCATCCAAAGCCAAAAGTAATGGGGGGAGGGGGAAGAGATTTTATTCTGCCATGTTTCTTACAAGGGGGAGATCAAGGGTTGAACTCAATTCATAAAATTACTGCAGTCATTTTCAGCTGGCTGAGAGAATTCACAGATCAAAAAAAAATACGGTGGCTCATAAATGATTTCTGATATACACAATTCAAGTTTTCTTTTTCTTTTCTTTTTTTTTTGGGCTCTTGGCATATGGTGCAATGCCTGTCAGAAACCATCCTCGCAGCTATTGACAGGTAGATTAGAAATGGTCCAAGATGGTTTCTATCATTCCACTCTAGGCTAGTCATCCATTTAAGCCACTTAATAGGAGTACAACTCAAAGCCTGCTTTGTACAGATTTCTTCCTCACATTTTGATCTTCTCTTTCAGTGTGGTGCTCACCTTGGGCATGTTTTCGATGACGGGCCACGACCAACTGGCAAAAGATACTGCATAAATTCTGCTTCCTTGTCTTTCACTCCTGCAGAGAATGGTAACACCGAAGACAACAGTGTTAGCATCCCTACCCAAGCTGGCAAAATGGAGCTGTAGAATGAAATTCGATATGAGACAACGATCTTACTAGTTAGTAGGGGAAAAAAAATCAAAATTGTCTACTACTATCTTATTTCATATATGCATATATATTTTTCAAACATAGAAGGGCAGTTTGTGCTATTGATGTTTTCTTCCTCCTCTTCCTTTTTGCTTAAACAGAGAGGCCTTAGACATGAATATATTTTGCCATTAATATAATCTTAACTATTTGTATGTAGATTTAGGGAAAAGAGATAGTTTTGAGAATGTCTTATCACTAGATATTTGAGTACTAAGCGGCAGTACTTTCTTAAAAGTGGATTTATAAAATCTCTCCCTTGCATAAGAAGAAAAGGGTAATTTGGCTTCCAGACTCCAAATTAGAACACTCCAGTGTCAATGCAATTTGAAGAGAACTGAGCCTCACTAGAGAGTTCAGACCTGCAAGACAGATGGCCTTAGGGCATTTGTATGGCTCTATTGAAGATAAGGATAGACTAATGCCTTACCATACTTATAGGCTTTGTGGAAAGTTTGAGCTAAGGCAGTTTATTCCCACTAAAAGGGTGTGAAGGTCTAAAGTCTTTCCTTATGTTAAATTGCTGCCAGATCTGAGAGGGTACAGGGAGTGTTGTGGAAGGGGGAAATAAACATTACCTCACTTTCATGCCTTTATTTTAGTTTATTTTCCATCGAAAACATTGGAATGCAAGACAAAAGTAAAACTTTGGGCTCCATTTTGCTCAAGGTTCGTGCTGAAGAACACCTGCCATGGCTTTTTCATAAGTCCTCCCTTCCACACCCAACACCAGCTGCAACTGAGGCAACAGTCTGGGAAATTTGAACTGCTTTAATTAAAATATTGGGAGTGGGAAGCTTCAAACCAAAGTAGGGGATGTAGTGGGAAAACTAGGGGATACACTGAGGACTGGAACCGTAGCATGGTGGATCATGCTTGGGCAGACAGGGCATGGAACAACTCAACAGGGACCTGAACATGTGCTACCATACAAGAGGGTATAGGGTCACTCTATAAATGTGGAAGTGGGATTAGTGGGATTAAAGCAGGAAGTCAGGAATTAGGTGTTTAGATTTCAGTCCCATGCTTATCTTGGTCTGCTGTGTTAAACATTACTCTATCTATGCCTGCTTGCCCATGTGTGAAATGGGAATTAAAGCATATGTAAAATACATTGAAATCCTCAGGGCAAAAGCACTATATTGCTGTATAATTAATATGAATATTAATATTAATAGCTAGCATTTATATAGTGCTTTAAGGTTTGCAAAGTGCTTTACATATGTTAACTCATTTGACTGTCACAAAAATCCTGAAAGGTAGGTGCTATTATTGAACCCATTTTACAGATGAGGAAACTTGAAGCAAAGAAGGTTTAAGTGACTTGCCAGGGTCACGCAGCTAGTAAATGTCCGAGGCAAGATCCAAACTGAGGTCTTCCCTGACTCCAAATCCATCACTCCATGCACCAAGCCACCTAGCTGCCTCTAAATATTAAAACTATTGTCATATTCTCCATTTTCAAAGCAAAATTTTTTTCTGGTCCTAAAAGCCTCAATGGTCTCAGGCTTGACAATTCAAATGGAAAAGGAGTAGGGATTAGGTTCACCTAGTAGATTGGCATGAAAACAGTGGGGTTGAGAGCCAGAAATTTTTCTTTGTAGCAATAGGGACTGGTTTTGTTCTTGCACATTTGTATTTGAATATTTAGTCAGATTGGGGACAGACATTGTTGTACACAATAAGGTTGGAGGATGACTACAAGAAGGAGTGATGTCACCCAATGGGGCAGTGGCCTAGAATGTTTGCCCACTGATACCAGATCTAATTTGTACCAATTAGTAATTGATAACTGAAATTATAGCTCGTGGCCTGAGTTTGATAATGCAACTCTTTTTTTATAAATAATTAAAAAGATGTGAATGGAGAAAAGCTCATGGAAAGTGCCATATTGCCTCTTTGGGAACTAAATCAAAGATAAGGAAAGAATTCTTTGGAACACTGGGAAAAGAAAAGAAGTGAGTAAAACCAAAAAAGATTTGAGTTGCAATGTTAGTTGCGTATGTGATCTGAGTCCCTAAGACGTATCCTAGGTCTCTAAAATCCTGCTGCCTTTTTATTGCAAGATGGACTTCATCTAGATGGGTTTGAGTCTCTCTGCGTCAACTCTGTGGCCAGTCTTCTCCTTGTGCTCCAAAACACCCAAGGGTCCCTCTTTCCTCCCTGAGGTAGAAATCAGGACTAAGATAGACCTGTCTATAGCTGCCTTACCCCCAGCTCCATTTCAGGGATCTACTACATTTAGGCCTCCTTGGACATCTCTTTTGAGGTTGACCCAAGCAGGCACTGGAAGTACACCATATAGTCATGAATTCTCCTCTTCTGGTTCCTAGTTGGGGAGGGGGGAACCCCACCTCCCTCAGTCATTCCCTTCATGAGCTATAGTTCTGAGGAATCCAGAGAAGGTTTGGTAGTCCAGGTAATAAGAAATACCAAGTGCTTTGACTATAGCTGCTTATAGAAAAACCTGCCTAGATTTAATTGGACGTTCACATTACATTGGACTTGACATTTTAGTGGAGAAAGGTAAAGAAGAAAGGGGGCCTCCTCTCCCTTGGTTTCTTCATTGCCATTCCTTCATCTTTATTTTTGTGAGGTTTAGCATTTCCCGGGAAAGAATTATTCTCTTCCTTCATTTTTTTTTCTTCCAGGAAAGCCCATTTTTCTCTTCTTGCATTTTCCAACATCAATTTTAAGAAAAAAGCACCAATGTCCATTAAAAAAAGAAGTGGGGTGCATATATGTGTTTTAATTCCATTTTGCTTTTGGATTTGTATTATCAAATTTCAGTGTATTTCTGTCTTATGTTAAAAAATATATTACTAAAAGTTCAATGAGCAATAATATTAGCTGTCATGCACTAGATTTATTTTTGCAGGATATGGAGTGCAGTGAATGGAGTCAATATGGTGAGGCACATGTGATCTGTGGGAGTTGCAGCATTTTAAATAGGAAATTCATTGTGCTCCCCTTCCATGCATTACAGCATGGTGCGAGGCAAGATAGATTTCCTTGTCATGCTATTAGAAGGTGCTGGACCCTGCTCATATTATACAGTACAAACATTGATCTGCTTGTGGTCATGAGAATGGGACTTGAGAGAGCAATGATATAAATACTGCCTTATGAGAGCATTTCTATGTATTTAACTTTGCACTTCTTTTATGCTTTTCAAATCTGAATCCAAATGATGTAGCAATTTGAGAATGTATTTTACAATAGTCTTCCATATTGTTACTTTATTTGAAATGCGTTTCTTAACATATGAATAATGGGGGGGGAGGGATGTAAATAAGGGAAGGGATTGTATCTTCATCTTTTATCTTCCAGCACCTAGGACAGTGCCTTACACATAGAAGGCACTCAATAGTTGAATTGAACTTATTGAATTGTTGAATCAAATATTTTTGCCTTAAGTAGATTTGTAATAACATTTTCCCCCTCTAAACACTACAAACTTTTCAAAAATATTATAAAATGTTCAGTGGACAGAGCTTTTCTTATGCCTATTGTATTATGAAGAGTTATGCAATAAAATTCCTTTATAAAGAAATGTTTCCTGCTTTAGTTCTTTGAGACTTCTTCCTTTAACTTATGCTTCAAATATGGGTAGTCAGTTGTCATGTGACATGGACTTCAGAAGCATGGCTGGAGCAAGTGGGATGAACTGCAGTTCCTTGCTTGCACCAGTTCTTAGAAAAATACTTCAGGAAGCTAGAAGTGGTGCCTATGATCAAGGCAGGGGTTAATGGATCTCTTAAGTTGGAAATTTCTGAGTTGCAGTAGGGCAAAACCCTATGGGGTATCCACACTACATCTGGCACCATTTTCATGATCCCTAGGGAATAGGAGGCCAAAAAGCTTCCTAGATAGGGATGAAGAGGTCCGGTTTAGAAATGGAACAGATCAAAGCTTTCGTGTTGATTTGTAGTGGGGTCAAGCCCATGAGTGGCTGCTGCATGTCTAGCCTGGCTAAGATAAGGAGAACCAGTCTCAAAACAAGCAAGCAAACAAATAAACAAATGAATAATACTTCAGGGACCTCAAAAAATGGAGGCAAGGTAAACATCTACAAACCCACTCAAGTTTTGCCTTCGCAAAATCTTCACTGTCTTACACTTCCTATGTTCAGCATAGGGCTTTGGGGAATTCTTCCAGAAAATACTTTTGACAGTTTCTAAGAATGTCACAAAACCAGTGCCTAAACTGCTGCTGAAGAATTTGGCTGAAAACTGGATTGTTGTTGAGGATTGGTCACTAGGGTAACAGGTTAGGAATGTCCCTTTGCTCACCAGATTAACTCAATTTGAGAAATCAGTGCTACAGAAATAGTGTATATTTTAAGGGAGGAGGGGAATGAGGGTGGGCAGTGATGAGGACCTGGATGCTATTTTCCACTGGACTTTTGTGATTATATCCCTGGAATCCTAAAGGATACTGGTATGACACTTCAGTTTCCAAGCCTTTCCTATTACTATAGAAGGCACCACCATCTTTCCAGTCACTCGGGCTTCTAATCTCAATGTCCTTCCCCCTCCATGTTTTTTCACTGACTGTTACTCCATGCCTGGAATGCTCTCTCTCCTTACCTCCTTCTCTTGGCTTCCTTCAGAGTTCAGCTCAAATCCTACCTTCAGCAACTGATCTTTCTAGGTCACCAATTCCCCCAGCATACCCCACAAGCTAGTGTCTTCCCTCTGAGATTATCTCCTATTTATGCAGTCTGTGTCTCATGTATACTTGTCTGTCATCTTCCCCATTAAAATGTGAGCTCCTTGAGATCAGGGACTATGTTTTTTCATTTCTTTGCATCTCTACCACTTAGCACAGTGCCTAGCATATAGTAAGGACTTAATAAATGCTTGAAGATTGACTCACTGACCAATACCTACAGGCATCTTTATTGGTGTTCAGTCAGAATAATAATAAATAAAGTTTATATAATGTGCTCTTTAAGATTTGGAAAGTGTTTTATATGAATATTACCTCATTTTTTCTTCACAATAACCCTGCGAAACAGGTACTATTATTACTCTCATGTTATATTATATTATATTACTCCCATTTATATGAGGAAAGTGAGGCTGAGAGATATTTAAATATTTTTCCATGGCCGCAGCCATACAACAAATGTCTGAGGTAGCAGTCAACTCAGGTCTTCCTAACTCCAAGTCCAACACTCCATCCCCTGTACCCTCACCCCTAGAAGACATTAGGTGGTAAGAGGTATTCTTTTTAGAAACATCTGACTTTTTTTCTTCTGTGGCTTTCTAAAGGTCGAGATGGCTCAGAATACTTAGACACCTCAAATGTTAACAGCTTTCAATTGTGCTTTTTTTCACTACCTATATATTTGTTTTTGTAGGCCTCTCTAAATGGTATTCCTACTTCTCAGTTGAGCCCAGACTTGTTTGTCAAAAGAAGAGGTAGTTATTAGATGAAGAGAGGGATGATATCACTAGACCATTCTGGAAATTTCTCCTTTCCTGAAAATCTAGGATGTCCATAGCATCATTCATCTTAAAAACTCCAAAAACTCATGAAGAACCAAATGCTCTGTGTGTGTATGTGTGTGTCTATATACAATC